TGGTTTAGCAAAGCAAGGGACCCGTAGATATCACCCTCTCGGGTTATTAGACGCAAAGATTCATAATAAATTGCCTTAGGATTCTCAACGTCCAAACAACGGGTAAAGAAGGTTCTAGTAACCCCACCTGGATATATGTCGACGGGGTCCAGGGTTAGAGGAGTTATGTTTGCTGACTGTAGGATCTCCTTTGATAACGCATTGTCCCTTCCTCGTTTGTTTGTGAGCAGTAGCGGGCCTAGGTGTCTGGCGTCTTCATCTCCAAGCTTCTTCGTAATGATATGGAATATATCATCCGGTAAATCACTCAAACACATAATTTTGAGTTCAGTGAAGCAAGAGTTTGATGTGTGCTAAGCGTGAGTAATAGAGAAAAGGAAATGTCTTTAACCTAAATGTCTTGTCTTATTTATAGATAACTAAATAAGGGGTCCGCTTATCACTTTAACCTAACTCTAACCGAAACCCTCATAAATAAACTATACAAATATAAAGGAAATCCAACACTACCTATTTAGAAAACAATATTGTTTGCTGTACAGATAGCATTCCGTACAGCCATGTTGCAGGTTCCTTGGTTCGGCTCTTAAACAAAGCACTAATTCTGGGATCTACGCTATACTCAGCACTGTCGAGGAAGCAAGAACGCCTAGGAACACGCTTTCCCAAAAGCGGCTGACGAGGGTTGGTTGACTCTATAACAAAATAAGCTGGTGATGCTGCAATAATGGAAGAGAGATTGCGGTATTTACAGTCATCTTTGGCAGAAGCTTCAGGCGTGTCAGGGATAACCTGGGATAAAGCATGAATTACAAAATGTAAAACCATGTGTATATAGATAATTCTGTAATGGGAAAGTTGATGACCAAGTGATAATTCAGGTTTGCTAATTCATTACCTGAGCAAATGGTGTTACCGGTGTAGAAGGAGTTTGCTTAGGCGAACCTTCAAAAACTTCCTTGCCACTGGTTTCCTTCTGAGTCTCATTTGCACCGCAATCTGTTTTAGGTGAAGCTTCATGCGTCTCAGGGATTCCATGCTTTACAAATGTGTTTCCAAATGCAAAACCATGCGTCTCAGTTAGGCATATAAAACTCTGGAATTGGAAATTGAATGAGGATAGGTTCAATTCTTGTTTGCATAAAACTTTACCTCAGCAATTGGTGTTACCGGTGTAGAAGGTGTTTGCTGAGGCTCTCTTCCAGATATTTCCTCCTCAACGGGTTCTTTCTCAGGCTCTCCTGCAGTGGGGTCTGAAATAGTAGAGTCCGGGATGTCTGATCTTATTTCCTGTAATTTCCAAAATCAAACATATGAGGGTCAGCACTGATTAACATTAGAGGAATCTGTTTGTATTAAACTAATACCTTAGCAATAGTTTTTGCAGCCCCATAAAGATCCCATGTTCTTTCAGAGGACTCAAAATTCATACTTGGTCCACCTTCTTTACCAATGAGAATTTCTCCAGATAAACCTTGCTTAGAACCAGAGGATGAGCTTCCAGAAGATAAAGAAGTAACCTCTTCTCTTTTTCTTTTCCTGGATGCAGGCTCCTCCTTCTTCTTCGTCCTCTTACTTTTTGATGTCTCTGTATGAGGCTGCCTTGGTTTAGGCAGTTGACTCTGATTCCCTAAATTCTTCAAAAGATCTTCACCTATGTTGGAACGGAGCTCTTCAAGCTGTTGAGAGATCCAAGACTTCAAGTCAGACAATTCAGCATGCGTAACAAACTGAGAAGAGGAGCTTCCTGCACCAGGCTGCGCTGCATCACCATGAGTATGGACTTTTTTGCCTGTCTTCTTAGGGCCATACTGTCCTATAGGTATTGCTGCAGCCGAGGTTTGGGGTTGATCCTTACTTTTATGTGAAGTAGCTTTCTTGCGAGGAGGCTGGGGATCAACAAGATCTTCTGCAAGCCTGGCTGACCGTGTGAATGGCTTCCGACGGAGAGGGTAGTTCTCTTTTTTCGCCTTCTTCGCAGCTGTCCTTGGTTCACATGTCTCATCGTCCTCTGGCCCATCAGATTCCAGGCCAACAAACTGTTTACCTTCAGTATTAATAGGATCTCCACCAAACTCTTCACCTTTTGCTGATGGAGCTTCCCTTGGTTCAACTTCTTTTTCCCCAGGTGCCACAGTGGGAGAGCTGGTAAAGCCGTGTACAGGCCATGTCTCAGGCTTGAATTGGTGCTTTTGCTTGATCAGAGAGATAATCAACTGCACCCCTGGGTCTTCATCTTCATTTGGCCAAGAGAGATCATCCTTCACAGGTGTTGCCTGGTATAGGGTGTATTCAACTGACAACTGCAAAATTCAAAAATTGACATAACTGAATTGATTAGGCTTCAAATGGCTTTATCATCCCACATAAATCTCAAAGGTAAACAGATTTTATTATGAGTTATTATAGTATACTGTATTACTTACATTAGCAGTGTATTCAGCGTCAACAACATCTGACTCACGGAGAAGAATGGTGCGGCCAAGATCCTGGGCACGCCTTTGGATAAAATTTCTGAAATCAGCAGGGACTTTAATCCTACTGCAAAGGGCAGGAATTGAGTTGAGAACTTGTAGTTGGAGAGCTAGAGGAAATCCGTAACAGCAACTGCTTTTTTGTGATAGGCGGGTCTTCAGCTCTGCAACAGGATCTTTCTCATTTGCAAGAGGGCCAAACCTTTCCATTGTTGCTTCAAAAGCAACTCTACCCCAGGGGTAACTCATGAAGAATTCTATATCATGAAGCATCTCAACAAAAGTGCTAGTCACCCGATGTGGTTTTTTGTTGCTACAAACAACAACACCATCAATAAGCACTATTAATGCGAGACTCAACTTCTTCCAAGTTGAGAACCGCTTATGACGATCTGCATTAAGACATGCATTAAAATCTCCCCTTAGCATGTCAATAACTTCCGCCACTGTAACTATCCTCTTCTCCCCAAAGAGCCGATTCCAAACAGACAGAAATGCATGGTCTTGGTGATCTTCTACCTCAGACGCCGATGGAATCTTATCACAAATCAGGCCAGTGGTGATTTGGAATTCCCGGAGAGAGAAGCGGAGTGGAAACCCACCATATACAGTCCACAACTCATGCTTTGATTGAGTCAAAAGTTGTCTAGAAAGCATACCATGAATCAACTTGGCAGAATGAGAACACCTTGCAACAGGAAGTTCAAACAATCTTTTGAACTGGGAAGCAAGTAGCAAGTCCCAACTCTCTGAACCCTCCAGTAGTTCCACCAGAATCCCCAGATATTCCGGCAACAGACGGCAAGGTAGGCTAGGGGTTGGAACCTCATCCTCTCCGGCTGTTGTTTTTGCCGGAGAATGTGCTAATCCTCTTGCATCTCCTATTATTCATTTCAGAAACCCTCAAATTTCAAACAATTTGGGGCGACATTGACAAAATCAACAAAATCAGAAATGATTAAGATTTCGGTCACCTTCTTTAGGGTCGTTTCTGTTGCCTCGTTTATTCTCCTTTTTGATTCCTCGCCGCGTGGGTTCTTGATTCATATCGGTCGTCGGCGATTTGGCCGGAGATTTCGCCGGAGATAGACGGGACCCCGATACAGTACCTGCCAAAGTAACAGAATCTTTATAGGAAAGTCTCAATTTTACTCAGATTAGACGGGAACTAGTACATTTTCGTCTCTTGATTACGACTTTGAAGGATTACCTTTTTTAGAATCAGAAATCTTGCTTCGCCGACTGGTTTCTTGTTCTATACTCACTGCAGGGCTTTGAATCTTCGATTTAACTGCTTTCTTCTTCGTCATTGAAGATTAATTTTTTTCAGAGAGAGTTGAATCCGAAAAGAATTGCGATTTTTTGGGAGAGAGTTGAACTGTTAGCCTTCGTGAAGAAGTCGGTTTTCTGAGAATATGAAAAGTCCCGAATAAAACTACATTTACACTTTTCAGTGGCATGAAACTGTAAATATCAGTGGTCTTCAATGGCAAAATGGGTCTCCCAATAAACACAACAGTGACACCATGTGGGACAAATCGAATTATGAATAGTGCCTGTGCTACTTTGCCTATTATGTTTCATAAACGTACTAAATCTCTAACAAACCCATAAGTTTATCGGGAGAACGAAGAGTAGTGTTGAATGGTCTTACCAAACCTCATGATATATATGTTGCTTGCAATTGGCAAAATATCATTTTTTGTAGTGACTTGACCAATTGTCTTTGCAGCAAATAGAGATCACATCACAAAATTTAGTAATTTTACAAATAATTAAATTAAACAATTGTAAAAGTGTCAAAATAATTAGATTATCAAAATAAAAATGAAAAATGCAATAAATTATACTATCAAATCTTATACTTGAAAGAGAAGTGGAGAAAACAAATATTGAACAAAACTTTCCTCATAAATATTTATGATTAAGTGAGTAAAGTTCTCACTTAAGTCTATTAATATGTTTTACCAATAAATAAAATCTGTTATTATAAAATAAGTTAAACCATTTCTTTTCTAATTTGAATACTATTACATTGTATTGAAATGTTTTATATTCTTACCAAAAAAAAGAAATGTTTTATATAATTAAAAACATAAAAATGATTAAATAGAATCAATGAAGTGATAAATGTAATTAATTACTATCAGATCTATCTTTATAAATGAAAAGGAAAAGAAAAGTGAAAAGGGTTAGACAAAGTGTTTTCATTTCACATTATTTTTATTAAATGAAGATTAATATATTCTTGTAAAATCTATTAATGTCATCAACCAATGAATGAAACCCATCATAGGAAATCTATCAATTAATGTCCTCTAAAGTTTGGTGTCTCTTTCTTATTGGCATGAGATTTACTCTCCAACGGACGGATCCACATTCACTTAATATACATCTATTCATATTTATAAAATTTAATACTGCAAAAACATATAAAATTTTGAACATAAATTTGAAGGAAATTAATAGATTAATTAAACCAATTAAAACCAAAGCAAACACAACGTAAAGAATCTACTCTAAAGTTAAGCAAAATGTATTATAAATAGAGGTTGATTTCTTGAAACATAATATAATTGAGTCATAAGATTTAAATAAAAATAATAATATAATTGAGTCATAACAAAAAAAAAAAGTTTGCTTTCGTAGGATTCTAAGACGATCGAAGATGGCAAAATGGAGTGCAATATTAGTGATAATGATGTTGGTGATTGTTGTGGTCGCAGTAGAAGCAAAATTGAGTGGAAAAGCTTATATTCAATGTTATAGCAAGTGTTCAAAGTCTTGTAAAATAAACAAAGGTAGTTGCTTTAGAAGTTGCAAAATCAAATGCGGTGGCCCAAACCCTCCCCATAGTTCATCACGGTACTATTTTTAATTTCTCTACCCTTTTTTTTTTGTCATCTGATTTTATATATAAAAACATAGAAGGATACATTTTGAGATTACATAAGCCGGCGGAAAAACTGAATATCCCTGGAAACTAAAGCCCAAAAGAGGGAAACATAAGCCGGCGGACGACATAAATGTCCCCGGAAACTAGGCTCTATAGAAGAGGAACTTATAATACTGGAAATACAAAACAAATATATCAAACCGACAACGCAAGAGAACGAAACCATAAACTAAGACAGAAGCACAAGGCTAAAACCTTAAGAGAAACAATAGACAAAAGAATACAAGGAAACCACTTCTTCTGAAGCACCTGCGATTGAGATTTACATAGGATGCCCGCGGCCAATCCTAAAATAACATCTACCTTCTCCTATCATAATGAGAGCTGATCTCTCGAAACCAAGAACCAAAGACTTCATAGCCCGGCAAGCAAAACCTATGAGCTGAGAGAACCTCGAGCACGCTTTCGAATACGACTACGACGACTGCCATGTCCAACAATGTCTAACTAGAAATCTTCAAAAGGCAATCCTATCAAAACAGATTCAGGAAAGCAAGGACAAGGAGTGAGGCCCAACCTGTCAAATATCACCAATCACAAGAACGAGAACGATGATGGATCGAGACGGTTGTCAAACACAGCGAACAACATCAGGGAGAAGAAGCATCTGCACACATAAAGTTCTATCGATCCAAAACAAACAAGCGAAACTTCTTCTTAGCAAGGAGACGAACCCAAAAGAATTCAAAGGTTGAGATGAGTCGACCAGGAGCGGATAGAAGAGCATAGTCTGGAAAAAACCTGACTAGAACCCAAACAACACTCAACAAACGGCTTATTAATTAATTAATTAATTTCTCTACCCCTTTCTATAAATATTTATTTATTATTTTTTAATTGTTTTTACAAATATACAACTTAACTTACGAATTGTTCTATTTTATGATATATGCATGGATAGAAGAACCTTACACGGGATGGAATTTGTGGAAGTTCTCGGAAGGAGAAAATGATAGATATACATTTTGTCGTAGATTTATTGATCATGTCTACCATTTTTCAACTTTTATGTTTATGTTAAAAACCTAATAAAGAATGATTAATGATGAAATGACAAAATAGAAAAAATTTCTATTTTCACAGGCTGTTTAAGTCCCAAAGATTAACCAAAAAAATCTTAAAAGTTACATACAAGAAATAAGAGATTATTTATAATAGTATAATACAAAACTAGTATACCACTAAAGAATAATTGGTTTTAACGACTTAAAAATGATTTTATTGGAAATTATTGGCCAACAAACTTTTATCCTACCTTATATTATTTCTTACACGCTACAATTATAGTGAATGTTATAAATATGAATGTATGAGATTTACAAAAGTTTGAGATATATTGTCAACATGCATATATATACTTGTTCATTTTTGTTTTAGATTGCTAATTATTCTTGTTGTTCGTTGATGAAGTTAGTTTTTGCATATGGATGTATAGATATTAAGCTGTTTTTAGCTTGTAAAATAGATGAATTTCAGATCTATCTCAAAATGACGCAAAACTTGTCTGTCAATAATTTTCCTATGATCAATTATATTCTTTTTAAAGAAATTGTACTTTCACAATATATGAGATCAAGATCATCAAATTTTCCATCAAATCACAAATTCACAATGCTAACACAAACATTTTACTATATATTTTGTAGTTTTGAGATAAACAAAAAAAAAAAAATCATTCAAGAATTTTGGCACCAAATAATATTTCTGAAATCCTTTTTTTGTATAGTTAAATCGTGATTTTTTTGTCACAAAATCATGATTTAGTAATTCTAAAAAAAGAAAATGACATGTGATATGTAGAAAATAATTTTAACAAAATGTTTTGATTTGTAAAAGAGTTTGGATGCAATTTCTCCATCCAAATTCATCATTAACAGAATACAAAAACTGCTAAAAATCATGGATGCTAGATCCTTAATTTATGTTCCCAATATTTCTATTTGAAAAATTAACCATAGTTTTTATTAATGTAGATAATCAAATACTTAGGGAAATCAAAAATGGAAAAGCAAGAATCAAAATTATCATCATAAGAATATTTTTTTGGGCACACACCTTCTTCTGTTTTACATTTCGAGATTATTATCACTCAGTTTCAAAGCTTGAAGTGAATCAGTTTCTGTCTCTGTTTTCTTGGCATGACGTGTACAGAAACCCTTCAATCTCTCAAGTGCATCTTCAAGCATATGAGCTTCGACTCCAATGGTTATCCTCATCCAGTTCTTCAAACCCAGAGCATCACCTGCAAAACATTCCCCACAATCCCCATTTTAGTATCAAAACTCAAATCAAGATTCATGCTGTTTAGTTTCATTTACTTTACCTGGTAGAAACACGAGATTCTCCTCTCTGGCCAGCTTTACGCAGAAATCTATATCGTCCTTGATGTTATCCATCAATGACAGCTCAAGCTTTGTCTGCATTAAGTGAAAACTATTCATCAGATTGAAAGACTAGTAATGGTCTGAAATTGATCAAGAATCACCACCAGTCTAACGAAAACCGATCTTAACTACATTTATGGATGTGTGTAGTTAAAGAAGTTTTACCAATAAGTAAGTGCAAGACTCAGGTTTCTTGGGACAAACGACACAGGGGATGTCCTTGAGCCTATCACACACCAAATCAACATTATGTTTGAGTATCTTGTTCTTCTTTGCAAAGAAGTTTTTATCCGCTTTCTCCAGGATCGCGGGAAGTGCAGCCTATCAAAGGAACAGACACTAGTGTCATGAATCCATGGACTAGTTTTGTAAAGATTATAAAACACACAAACCTGAATTATTGTGGCAGGGTCAGGAGTCACGTCAAGATTCTGTTTGATGGATTGTACCACCTATCAGAAACAAAGAGCAAGTATACAGTGAGATTACAAAACAAAACAGCAATAGGGGACTAAAAATACAAATAGCCGTAAGCAAACCTTGGTGGTCTCGAAAATGCCCTCGGGATCATTCAAGGCGATCCAGCCAATTTTCCATCCAGGAACAACCCATCCCTTAGATATGCCTGCTAGTGTCAACACAGGAACAATCGATGCAAACTTTCCCATTGGAACAAATGGATTGTCTCCGAATATAGTTTGGTCATATACTTCGTCTGAGATCACCATTATCCCCAGCTTCCTAGCCGTCTCTGCAACCTAAAATGTTCATCAACAAACCAAAAACGCAAGCTTTAGCGAGCTACGAATCAAAAATGGCTCAAAATTTCAAGCTTTAGCGAGCTACGAATCAAAAATGGCTCAAAGTTTCAAGCTTTAGCTAAGTTATGAATCAGAAAGATGAGCATTTTAGTGTAATGATACAAAAACACAAACCTTTTTGAGATGGTCGTGAGAGTAGACATTTCCACAGGGATTGTTGGGGTTAATTACAACCATAGCCACAGTGTTCTCGTCTGCAATGGCTTCGATACCTTCGAGATCAATCTCCCATTCTTTCTCAGGAAGAAGATCAAACTTGCGAACCTCGAGACCACTGTAAGCAGCACGAGCGTCGTAATGAGGGAAGCCAGGACGTGGGAGCAAGATGTTTGCGTTTGGTCGAGCCAACGATTCGAACACGATCTCTATCCCTTGGTTGCATCCAGCGGTCAGGAAGATATCTTCCGGCGTTAACTTGTGCGGAAGATCTCGGTTCATATAATCGGCAACGGCTCTGTGGATCGATCAGAAACATTCAAAAGTTATGGGGTCAATTTATAAGAATGCTAAAACTATAGGGTCTAAAAGACAATTTTGATATTTATACTCGAGTGTGACTTCTAAAGTTGAAATCGAGTCAAAATTGAATCGCCGTTGACACAAAAACGACTCCGATTACGATCAAATTCGAAGAACCCAGATCGAGAAACGCTCGATTGAAGTGAAAGATCGAGAATTGAGTGATAAAGTTACCGTCTTGCGGGGAGAATCCCAGCTCCGGGACCGTAAGAATTGCCTTTGCCGGAGCGGAGGACGTCGACGACGGCGTCTTCAGCTTCGATACAGGTACGGAAGCAAGGGTAGACGGAAGGGTCACCGTGGCCGAGGGGTAAAATGGTCTTATTGACATCTTTGCTGCAGTTGTCGAAGAGCATGTAGATGACACCTCTCAGTGTTACGGTGGATGCTTTCGCTGCCTTATCACTTCCACCGAAACGCCAAACGCTACTTTGACCATTCTGCGTTTGCGTTATGGGATCTTTCTCAGTTGTAAACGCGGGAACCGCCAGATTGGCGTGTGGTTGTTCTTCGCTCATTTTCTCTCTTTGTGGTTTTGGTTCGTTGCTTTGAGTTCTTTTTTCTATAACAATTAAAATTTCAATTCCGATATTGAAATATAATGCAAAGTTTTGAATTATGAAACGTGATCAATAATCTTGGTGAGACCTAACACAAACTAAAAATCACGTGCCACAAAAGTTACTCCAATTGGTAGGCTTTGTTTTTGGGCCTGGCCTTGATAAAAATAGTTTGGCAAGTTTAAAACCGAACCGATTAGTTTGAGATGTTGTGTATCAACATTTGTCTATTTGTCCATATATCTCAACATTTTTAACTTCAAGGCACATGTGTTGTGGTCTTCCATCCCACGTTTGCCTTACTATGCATGCGCACTCGTCGCCTCCACGAGTAGTGAAAGTTATGTAGAAGATAGCATTGCTCGACTTCAACTTCAAACTTGACTCTATGTCGTCTTCCTTTGTTTGTACCACTGCTTTCTTTATCTCCAACAGGAGATGATTAACCTGCAAATTAAAACAAAAGCTTGGTTGAGAGAAGAGTGCATGACCCCAAAACAAATGAGTATACTGATAACTTTTCTAGGCTCACCATGTCAAGATCCCACTTAGAGTATGCTCCAACTTGAGCATATAGATGAAGCCATTCATTCTCTTGCAAATCCGAATCATTAATCTACATTTGAAACATTTTAACATTAGTGGCAAGGTGTGATCTATGTCTGTGTGTTAAGCAGATCATGCACATAATGGAAATCAGTCAAAAAATTTATATATTGCTAACACCACACCTCATAGTAGTGTAGCTTCTCGCTTCCTGTAATTGCACTATCATCTAGCCACTTAGGCATCACACCATTATAGAACATGTCTACACCATCGAAATCCCATTGGGTTCCTTGTTCTCCAGATCCTACAACAACATTTCTAGAAGATTAATAATTGGTGGATGAATAGAAACTAGCATAGCTAGAAACACGAGAAACAATTCTGCATGTAATTAAGGTCACAAATGCATAAAACATGTACGCCTTAACAATATATGTTAGTTTACCTTCAAGGCTGCAAAAAGTGGTGACTAATCTCAAGTTCTCATCATTCTCTATGGAAGCATCCCAAGCACAGATTTCAACACTGGAAAATGAATTGTTGGCTGGATCAATGGCATTCAATGTCATCTGATAATCGAAATGTGCAACCGATCGCACCATGAGTTGGGTTACAGTCACCAAATGTGCTAGAATAAGAGCAATATAGATAGAGTTACCTTGTGAGAATTGTAGCAATGGAGTGCCAACTTTGCAATGAGTTCGTTAGCTTCATTAACACCAAAGGCTTTTACACCACAATATCCCTGCAAAAAAATCAGATCACAAGTAGACTTGAGAGACAATCAATCAATCCTTTATAAAGTAGCAATATTTTTTTACAAGTTAGGGTTATGAAATCCTACAACCCACGAAACCACGGTGTGAGAGTTACCGTAGAGACATCTTCGGAGGATTCTTTGTCTATAGGTGAAGGTGGAGAACAGATCGGAGTTTCGAACACCATCTTTCTGATAAAAAAAAACAAACTCTTTCTCTAACTTTCGAGAGAATGAATGGAAAACAGAGAAGCTAGCTAGCTAGTTAGGGCTTTTTGTAATCGCAACTTTACCTTTTTTCCTCTTTCTATTCTTTTGTACTTTTAGGTTTTACCTCTTCGTAAAGAGACCCATTCTTTGTGCTTAGTTGATATTTTTACGTACCGACTCTGAAAATTATAAATAAAAACTATAATTAGAAATTGAAAATAGAAGCTGAAAATTTGTTCCCTACAAGAAATAGAAAGGAGAGAATTCACAAGGAGGGACAAATTTAAAGTTAAAAAAAAAAACACACCATTCAGAGTAATGGCATATGGAGAGAAAGTAACCTTGTCAATGTTCGATGAGAAAGTAATAGCTAATAGATACTCAAATCAGGTAGGTTTTTGTTATAGGAAAAAGGAAGAGGAGCTGACGTGGATAGATGCTGAAAGATGATTGGCTGAGAGGTGAATAATGAGTTGGCAGCTGTTGATTGGTGCGTTGGTTGTTGGAGAAGAGGTCGTGAAGCTATTAACAGATCTCAAGATCATTTGCAGAGAATTGTTTTGGTATCTTTTTCTTAGAATTCCTTGCGTTGTGACAATGGTGGACTCATTGTTGGCTAGAGTTTCTTGTGAACTCAGCAGATGAGATTTGGATCCGCGTTTCATGAACGTTGATACAATATTTGTGTTTGATTTTCAAGTTTTCGATTGAATAGCAGTTTCCCTGCTTCAGTTTTATGAGAATTACACCAGATTCGATACTTCTCTGCTGCCACCGGATCCACCTCATCATCGTCTGAATCTTCATCATACAGGGGATTCGAGCTTCGGTTTAGGCTGCAGAGGTTCGTCGAGCCACATCTTGGCCTCATCCAACATTAAATCGTACATCTTTCTCTTTCTGATCCCACTCCAAAACCCTTTCTAATCGGAACCAAACACAATTCTGATATTTGTGTTTTCTTTACTTGACTCACAAGTTTCCTTTTTCTTTTCCATCCCCCTTACTTTATTTTTATGATAAATAGACCCTAAGTCTTTAAGCCCCAATGCTATGTAGTATTAACCCCCAACATTTGACTTCCTTTCGTCGATTTATATAACTAACGCTCTTGTTAATACCAACTAAACCATGGATTTTACATTTTGGAAAGAATTTTATTGTCAATGGAGTTTTTTTAACAAGACATGACTTTGATCACACAGCGTGGGCGTCTTTTGTTTCTCTCTCTCTCACACACACTTGACTGGTAAAATTTATAAACAACAAAAGTTTATCACTGGAACCTTACAACTATACAAGAGATGTCGTCTGTGCTTTTCTTAGAGACTGCTTCTTCTATCAACTCCTTCGCTGCCGCTTGTGGATCTTTTATGGTTTTGATCACATCCACCGCTTCTTGGTTCGACAACACCTGTTAATACAATACTCAATTGTAAAATCAAATTTAGATTCCATCACTCTGATGATAATATGGAAGTGTTCTCTAAATACCTTCCAAATTCCATCACTTGCAAAAACGATGAACTCAGTCTCATCATCGATAGTCTGGTGTGTTATGTCTGGTTCTGAGCTCAGATGTATCTTTAAACTCTTATCTCCAAACGCCCTCGCAACCGCTAGTTGTCCATCAACTCTTGGAACATCCCCTGCAACATTCAAGAATCGTCTATCAATTCCTCTTCTCATATTCTTTTATACGTGAGCAAGTAAGTATATATATCCATCTACAAAACTTACCTGGAATATTCGATACAAAGCCACCACGGCTCTCTATTTCCTTTTGCTCCTTGCTTGGTTCATGATCAACAGAGAGTTGATAAGCAACACCATTCTTTGACATCACTGCTCGTGAGTCTCCAACATTAGCAACCACTAGCTTTTTCCCATCTATCAGAATGCCTGTTACAGCCGTTGATCCGCCTTTGCCAAGTTTAAGTGACTGCTCTAATATCACAGCATCCGTTGATATGTATGCATTCCTTATAGCGTTTTCCGTATCAGTCCAAAAATCTTTCTAAGAGAGTGAAAAAAACAAAAACATTTTAAGACATAAAAGGGGACACTACTAGAAATTGACAAAAAAAAAATGGAGTTACCTCTTTGAGTATGTTATCAAAGAGATTGGTCTGCAAGTACTTGGCCACATCATGCCCTAAATGACCGTCAAAGATAGCAAACAAACCCAAATCATGGCCGTCTACTTTCTTGAACTCAGACACAACATAGTCCTCCATGGGATGGCACGCTTTGCCTTTCACAAAGTCATAACCGTGTGCGATGTTCTTCCACATCTTGCTTTTACCTCTGCCTGTGTCAGATCCGCATAATCCAACCTTAAAATATTCACACCAAAAAAAAACAAGAAATTAAAGAGATCCATGTACGAAAGTAATCACATAAATCCAAGTTCTGTAATTTCATTCATCAAGAGCCATTAAACATATAGAAAATGCGCAAATTAATTACTGAAATAAATTCCATAGATTAACACAAGCTAAGTTCTAAAAGAATCAATATCCCCGTTTAACATGGGAAATGCTTTGTTCCTTAAAACGGCTCTACGTACAAGTTAGAAGCAAACATAGATTGAGAAACAGAACAAGACATACAAGGATCAGATCACAAAATCAAGATCCTTAGAGCCCTTGAAATTAACTTGAAACACTATTATAAGAAAAAGAAAAAAAAAAGACTAGCCTTGAGCTGAAGCATACCTTCATCTTATGGAGAATCTCTCTGCCTGTCATTGTTACAAGAATTTGTTTCTCTGCGTTTGTGTCTGAAATGTGAATGATTCAAAAAAGACAGAGAGAGAGAGAGAGAGATGAGTTTATGTAATAAATGACTGTGAGGTAATCACGTGTGAACAGCCCGTGACTTTTATCACTATTGGCTACTGACTTCCTCCGCCGACGACTTTTCTTCTTTTATACTTTTATTCTATTTTCATAAGGCAAAAGAAATCCGTAAACAAATTCTCTCTATATTCAATCACATTGCCGACAAAATAAAACATTATTTTTTAACATACAAAAATGTTATTTCGTACATACACATCATCTCATTCATAACATTATTGATCGGAAAAACAAATTTTATTATTACTTAAAATATCATACATTATTATTTTACAGAGTACTAACTAAACAAGGGAGACCTTAATTTTATCTAAAATATCATACATTATTATTACACGCGTTGACAAAAAAAAACGCGTGTAAGAGGCAAAACCACACGCAATGAAGGCGCGTTGAGCGCGTGAGATTAAAATCCGTGGACTATAACCCTCCGATTTGGTGATTTTTGCATAAATGAAAAATTAGGAGGACATGAAGCGCGTGAGCCGGAATTTATCATTTGTCTACCTGAAAACATGGGCCACATAATATACAACAAATAGGCCCATTTACACTTTTGGGCTATAATATAGAATATTTGTTGCGGTCCACCAAATTTTGAATTTTGAAAAGCTTCACTTCCCACTCTCTCTCTCCTTCATACGGCTGCGATTGCGAAAATGGTAATCGGTTACAGAGACAACGCCGGTGAATCGGAATCCGCCGGAGACCCGCTCTTCCCGTGGCTTATGTAACTCATGCCTTCTCCTCTCTGCTCATCTAATTAATTGTAAAATATGTATCAAAAGGTTTCTGATTATCGATTAGGGGGTTTTCACAGGAAGATTAAAAATTCGATGGAGGATCTATACTCTGGTAAAAATTCCGGCGAAGATCTCGATAAGCTTCTCTATGATTGTATCTCAACTTATAAGGAAGATACTCGGTACCGAAATGACCTCAGATTCCTCAAGATCTGGTTTCTCTACGTAATTTTACTAAAACCCTCTCTCCATGTTGTTTGAGCTTAAATTTTGCTTTGTTGATTTAGCATACTTAGGTTTTGGGATTGTTGTATTCCGAATCAATTGATGCATGTTACAGTTTTGGGGGTTTGATTGTTGGATTTTTTCTTCAATTTTGATGGTTTTAGCTTGATGGCTGTGAAGATTTTGAGAGGGTTTATAGAGAAGTTGAAGAGAATGAGATATGTATAGGGCATTCTTTGCTCTATGAATGGTATGCTATTTTTCTTGAGGTCAAAGGATTATGGCGAAGAGCAAATTCGGTTTATCAGACTGGTCTTTCAAGGTCTCTTATCTTTCTCCTTGTTGTGTGGCTCATTAATAATTTTTTTCTTCTAGTTTGTGATTTCATTTCTGATTTGTTGCTCATTCTGCTATCTTGGAGAAATGTAGGAAAGCTGAACCATTTGACAGGTTAAAAGAGGCTCACTCGTTGTTCTTACAAAGAATCTCTAAGAGGACCAAAACATCTTCCCTTGAAGAGGTTGATTTTCTAATATAGTTAACTTTGGTTATTAACCCAAAAGCTTTAGTTGAGAGAACATCATCACTCGTAGCATTTGGTTATTCTAATGCACTTCGATAGCTTTAGTTGAGGATTGAACGGAATTTTCTTTCTGGTATGTTGGTGATGATGCTCAGGCCACTGACTTGGAGACGGGTTTTCTGAATCCATGGGAAACCTCCACTGTGAACGGCTTAATTCACAAGATAAAACCCCAGCTTGTGAAATATGATGTAAGGCAGATGGAAAATCATGATATTTTACATGATTTTGCTTATATAGGGAGGCTTATCCACTGAGTTTCTTTCTTTATGTTTGCATCAGGGGTACCATGCAAGCAACAAAGTTTTCCCTGGAAAAGCCAACCTGTCATCTTTGCAGAATTATTCCAGAAATAAGATCATTGACATAGGTATACTTTTTTCATACCAATCTAGTCTGTCACCTCTACAGGATAAAGAATGTTTCTTTTTATTTTAAGATGCATTGTTCAAATTAGAAGTGGCTGAGTATGTATTCATTTATGTAAAAGAAATTGAGTCCCACTTTGTTCTCACCTGGGACAATAAGTCTTCTCTGAGACCCAAAAAAAAAATGACCTGGATTCATTGTCTATTTGCTAGGTGGAAGAAAGTACCAGATGAAGGGCTGTGCTGGCCAAGGTGGTTTTGCTCAAGTGTTCAAAGCATACATTGACAGCAATCCTGATGAAGTAGTTGCTCTAAAGGTAGATAGACCCTTAAAGTTTTTCAAATACAGTATGACGCAAAATGGCACAATTGTCAGATGTTGCTCACATCTAATATTGCATATACTACTCTTTTCACAGGTACAAAAGCCACCTTTTCCTTGGGAATTCCACATGTATCGCCAACTTGATTGCAGGATCCCAGAGAGCCAAGTATGCCCTTTTCCATCATTATTACCAGGTCACAGGTGTTTCACACCGTACTAATTACTCTCATACTATGTTAGAGATCAAGTTTTGGATTGGCTCAGAGAGTGCACGTGTATTCAGACTACAGTATACTTGTCTGCGATTATCTATCACATGGGACACTCCAGGTAGGTTTCTGTGGACTCTTACAGACTGAAGAAACAAAATGCAGGCATACTGTTTAATTTGCCTTCTTTTTGTGAGTTAAGGACGTCATAAACTCGTATGTCGTTGTTGGCAAGTCCATGGAAGAAGTTTTGTGCATGTATTACACAATAGAAATGCTGTACATGCTGGAAACTTTGCACAGTGTTGGAATCATTCATGGTGATTTCAAGCCAGACAATCTGCTGATCCGATACCCTCCGTAAGTTTATTCCGCTCCAGTATTGCTGATTAGATTGTAGATACAACTTTTGGATCATGAAGCAATATACTTGTATGTTAACGATCATGGCAGAGACTGATATACCTCATGAATTACTTGCAGAGAAAACCTAACTGAGACAGGCTTTCATGATAAAACAGGTTCTTGGAGCAATCAGGTAATTTCCTTATACAACTGCTAGTTCTGATTCGTGTGTGTCAACAATCTGATGCAATTTTTCATTTCTGCCTTAGGGTCTCTGTCTTGTTGACTGGGGTAGAGGAATAGACTTGAGCCTGTTTCCTAGAACCACCGAGTTTACAGGAGATTGTCGTACCTCAGGCTTCCGTTGCATGGAGATGAAAGAAAAGAAACCTTGGAAGTTTCAGGCAAGTCTTTTAATTCACACTGTTTCAGCAAGAACGATTAGCCTTTAACCATTTGAGACCATTGGAATATGTGTTATATATAGGTGGACACTTATGGACTATGTGTAATCGTCCACATGATGCTGCACAACTCCTACATGGAGATCGAGAAGAAACAATCTCTGGACGGTGGCCACATTAATATGCCGAGAACTTCATTTAGAAGGTCTCAAGAATAGATGAACTTCATTAGCTTGTTTTGTCTCTCAAACAAAAAAAAAAAACATTATTGTTTGGATATTGATTCACTAAGTTGTTTGCTCAGATACTGGAACGTGGATCTGTGGAAGGAACTATTCACGAAGCTGCTCAACAGAGAGACGTGTGAAGATGACACAGAGACACTAAGGAATCTGAGAAAGTCAATGGAAGAGTATATATGCTCCGATCCTAAGCTCATGAAGAAGCTTAACGAGTTACTCGCCAAACAACGCATCTCTTTATGCTCTTCGTAATTATCGTCACTAAGTAATTAAAGAGTCTCTGTATAGTGTTTGTGAGAGAAAAAAGAAAGAAACACTTAGGAGACTTTGATTGCCTCGCCTCTCAAGTAACGCGCAAATTTGTGGTCTAGGATAGTTTATTATTGAATTTGAATGTATGTATCTAACACATCTATATTTCCTACTTTGTATTTCGTATCACATGGTTTCCTACATCTTAGAAGTGAGATACTAACAAAATAATCTAGGGTGCGATTTATTAAGGAGTATATTAAGTGTTGCTTATCAAGAAATGAAGAAATATGTTGCTTATAGATTGTTACGAGATAGCTTTGTTGCGGGTTTCTTGCCGGGTTGCTGAAGAATGATTGTTTATATGTTGGAGGATTTTATTAAAAGAATGGCCAATGAATATGCACTAAAGAGATTGACTTATTACACAATTCATCATACTATGTCTATCTATGCTCTGTTTTCATCTAATATCTTTCCAAGCCCTGAAACCAAAGAAGCACCCAAATATGTTTCAGTTTAATCGGCAGAACCTGAGCAGCTGTTACCTACAATTAAATGTGGGTGCAGTTAATAGACGATTCCGAGGGAACCAAAGCTTAAGCTGGAGGAAGTGGGCGACGACATGTTGGGCACTCCATCTTTATATCCATCCATCTCTGTAAGCAACCCGAGTGGAATATATGCTCACACGGCGTTACCATGCAATCATTAATACGGTGTCTGAGATCAATCGTGGTCATGCAGATTACGCAGTCCCTGCTTCGGTTTACATTATGATCCAATCTTCTGTAGTAGCTGTATTTCTCAGGGAGCATCTGCCGCATCGGAAGTAAACACATGAGCTCTTGATAATGACAACTAAGCAATTTACTATCAATCTAGAAAGGCATCAGAACCAACAAACCTTCCGAGGGACAAAGCAACGAGACCCGAAATAATGCTGAAGAAGAAGAACAGCAGCTTGAAACCCCATGAATGCGCACAGGCTTACACACCAGGCCTTGCTGGGCTCTACACGCATGAAGTTCTTCGGGCAACCAAAAACATACAATGGTATAGCAAGTCGTGTAACAGTCATCCCCAGGATATAGTAAGGATGCAGGGGCTTTCGAGAATCACGAACAACGTTTGCAACTATCTGGGGAAACCAAAACGAGTACATGAGTAGGAGGATCGGCCGCATGTAGTTGTGGAACTCATACATTAACAATATGCCTCCAAGAAGGATACCATCTGTTGAAAATCATTACAATGAGAGAAACATCAAACATCTGTGAGAAATTTAAGCATTTACTTGATAATGAACAAACACAAAAGAAATCAAATACTCACAGAAACGGCTGTACAGAAAGGAGAGCTCACGCCTCATTGTTTCCCAGCCCTCACCGCTGGTTGAAGGCCGGGTTGCTTTCCATATGGACAGAAGATACCTCATCTCAAATATCGAAAACACTACAAATTTGAAGAACGCAGCTGTTGCAAAAGCGTTAAAAAGGGATTCTGCATAAGAATAAAATAGAATGATTGAGAAAAGCATGACATGGTCAAGAAATAGACAGTTTATGAGAATTTCCATCACAATCATTGAGAAATGTACTTACACAGCCTATGAAAAGCTATGAAGATTATTATCAAGATGAACAGGGAACACATTGTGAAGAAGTGTGAAATTATATTTAAAATACATACCAACTAAAATCCCAGCTGTGAGATGTAAAAGGCATAAATAAGAATCCATGATGGCTTGTTGCCCGATCATTACTATAGAGACCTTTGCAGCACCCTTGTAAACAAGAAGAGTTATCCAAAAGTTAGCATCCAGTCTCTTCTCTTAGAAAGATCAGATAAACAAAAAATGATAATCTTACGGATTGTGTGTTACTGTGCTCCATTTGCCGGATCAATAAAAGAACCTGGAGGAACGAGACCTAAGTACATAACAAGTTAAAGAATCCGCTAAAACTGCCATGTGTTTGTCATTTTGTGATGGAATGACAAAGAGATTGGAACAAAGGATACAAAAGTGACCATCAATGTATAGTTCACAGCTTTGTTATAGTAGACTTCAACGTTTATGGAGGTTGCATTCAGCGACAATGGCGAAAAACAATCTCCGTCATCATCTACTGCAGGACTTTCCATCAATCCTTCGATATGATAACGATCTTTGTCCCCATCTACCAAAATAAGTAAGACTCTCTCAAAGTCAGACTAAAATTAGCTAAGAAGGCAAGAACTGAGCCAGCATCATCATTTCAACGCCAAATGTTAGAAGGCATACATACTGTTTTCACTAGAAGCGCTTTGGGATATTTGGGCTGCTATTTCGATATTGCAGTGCTTCTCCATCTCATATATTGGAGCTGGAATACAACACAAATGAAGGTCAGATGTAGTAGAAGAGTACAACATATAGATACAAATCCAGATCCTACTCACAAGTTTTCTGTTTCAATATTCTGTCTCTTGGAGATTCTTGAAATACTTGGGAGGAAAAAATACCGAGCTGTCCGACAGCAGAAAAGTTGACACTAGTAAGCTCTCCAAACATTTTAACATAACAAAGAATCAGAAAAATGATGCAACATCACGTGGCAAAGTGGATCACATCCGGCATTACCAGATGATAGGGGTTGGAGAGAAGATAATCGTCTTCTAGTCCTGAATCACCCTTCTTTCCGCTGATCAATCATTAAACGTACAGACCTTAGAGAACCCTACCAATACTGGATCTTGAAAAGCAATTAAATAAATCAAAAATGTAGTTAAACCTGTTAGCAACAAGACGGAGCTGTCTAAAGGGCCAAATATATACACCTTCAACTTTAATTTGGGCACCACCCACATTGTGTTCATTGTCAAATACGTCATGGAAAACAACTGCACCCTGTTCCCATTCAAAGTTAACACAAGTTCTGATTTTGCAAAGTTATTTATTAAGATCAAAAAGCATGATCTCCATGATGCAGACTATCAAGAGCAGCTATTCACCTGAACATAATGCACACCAGTTATTTTTGTTGGACTTGTCACTAACTCAATGACAGAGTTACCACTTTCTTTTCTGAAATCTGGGAACTTTGAAGAGCTATTTACAGTATCTAGAAAGTTCCATGAGCCTGAAACATAGATCACGGAAATGAGCTTCAAGATCATCCCTCAGCGTAGGATTATGATATTGAAGCAGAAAAAAAACCAACAATGCAATGCCACAAAACCTCTATATGTTCCTGTTATGTTCCATGCGGAAAACGGTCCTGCTCCGCTTTTTTCTTTCTTGCCAAAGCGCCACTGCAAGATCAAAAAAACAATCTCAGCCTTCCCATTCCGCTTTGCACATTCTATCGAAAACTCGTGGCATATAGACAGACTAAAACTGCATAATCTCATTCCCCTCTTAGATTATGAGCTATCAGAAATTCTACTATTGCGACAAGTACTGTTCTCTCTCTTCATAACGTAAACAAGTCAACGAACACATTGAACAGCAAACTAATGAAAGACTTAGCTGATACACAAAAATAAAGAACATTGAAAGCAAATTGAAACAATCATCAAAACCACACAAACCTCATCGCCCCAGGATCGAGCAGTCTCCCTAATGGGTCTGAGTCCATTAGCTTGTTGCAAAACCGCAAACCAAATCGATAAGGAGAAGAACCCTAATCCCCAAACCCCGAAATTCCCCAGATTATTCATATCACAACCCAAAATCTCGTGTGGTTTCACAATGCCGATTCATCAGAACATAAAGGAGACAAGAAGATCAATAAAAAAGGTTGCTTTAAGTGAAGTCAAACACAAGAAACGAAGATCAAATCGGCTAAAAGAGAAAGTGAGAGCCCAACAAACTGCAATAGAAGATTGTTCGTCTGTACCAAACCACAACTAGAAGAGATTATGACAGAGAAACAAACTCTGTAATCATAGAACAGCAATTGACTTTGAAAATGGTCGTCGTTTGAGATTCTTTCTCTCTCGTTTTGGGAGAAAGTTAAAAACTTTATGGCCTTGTTCTCTAGTCTATTAGTATAATATATGTTTGGAGAGAACAAAGGTGGAAACTTGGAAAGGACAAAGGAGTTTTACTTTGTAAAGTTTCAATCTTGAAGACGATCTTCTCTCGAGTCTATGGGCTCTCTCTGTCTCTGAGGTTAAAATCTTCTTTTGTTTTTCTTCTGTTACGTAAATCTTCTTATTTCCCCAAAACATTCATTTATGCAAATGTCAACTCTATAAATATTTGATGAAAAAAAAGAAAAACATATTTTTACATGTTTTCTCATCATAAATTCCTACATTTTGTGTGAAAAAAAAAAAAACATCATATATTATGACAAAGAAAAAAAAAATGAAAAAAAAAACAACTCATTATACCATTTTAATATTTAGTGGTCAGAATATTGAGGAATTTTTTAACTCTAAAGTGGGCACTTTCAAGTTCAATCTGTAAGTGCGGATGAGGTCAAATAAATTGCGGAAAGTAAACGAGACAAGAAATTTGTTAACGAGGTTCGGTTTTTCCTACTCCCCGGGACCACGTCCAGATTTCGATTCCACTAGAACAAGAAAGCAAATACAACCTATTCGCAAACGCGTAAATCAAGCACAACCCTCTTGATTCACCGCTTCGTTCTATTAACATGAAATCTTAAGGATAAATCTCTACCCTTAACTAAACTCTCCTGAGCCTAGATTTAATCAGGATAACCTAACCCTGAGCTAAACTCCCCCTGAGTCTAGACTTCAATTCTCCAAGTCTCTGGAACAACCACCAAACACGAACCGTCACGCCAACGAACCCAACGATCACCAAGATTCTCCAACATGAACCGTCAACACCAACACACAAATAAGCTTGATCACACAAGCACTTAACCCGCGAAACTACGTCGCACACGATCACACACAATCTCTCACATCGAATCTCTTTGGGATTTTTACTCTTGCCAATCCACATTCTCATAAGGTCACGTCCCCCTTATATAATAAACAGAAACTTGCACCTCAAGTTCTTCCAATCACACATAAGAGAAAGTTTCTTAATCTCATAAGAAAAAGATTTTCCTTTTTGCCAATTTCCTTTTCACTTCAAGCAAACTTCCTCTTTGCTTACATGATTCCTTTTGTCTTCAAACAAAGATATTTTCCTTTTCCTTGACTTAACAAACGCTCCAACATCCAAGTACTCGAGCTCCTCATCAGCAACTATGCTTCTCATCTTCTTAAATCACTTCTTGTACTACTTCCTGTACTACTTCGACGACTAGTACAGAACACCAAAATAACTGCATCTTCAATCTCCCCCTTTTTGACTATGTATGTGAACTCAACAATTCTAGCTTCAATGACTTCATCACCAGTAACACAACAACCTAGCAACACCAACCTCCCCTTACTTGAATCACATCATGGTCAAAAACCAATTGAAGGATCGCCTCCATCGAAACCAAGGATGATTCCCAATTGCAGCATCTCCGTAATGATTAACTCTCCTGGACCAAGTATTCCTGAGTTGTATGAATCCATAACGCATGATTCTTAGCTCTGTTTTACTTCCTGAACTATCTCCTGAACGATCTCCTGAATGATCTCCTGAACGATCTCCTGAATGATCTCCTGAACCTCATCCTGATCTACCCGAAACAAGACTAAATCTACATCAGACTGCAGCTACATCTTGACTCATTCAGCAACTTCATTAGACTGCAGCTATATCTTCATTCTCCCCCTTTTTGACTATGTCTGTGAACTCAACAGTTCTAACTGCAAAACAACATCACGAAACATATCATCATTCTCCCCCTGGATGAGTCACAACATGGTTAAAACTACTTGGAAAATTCTCCCCGCTTTGCACTACGAGGTTGATAGCCTAGTACACCACGTCCATAGAAATCATCTTTCCTAACCCAAATCTTCCTGCGCCTTAAGCCTTCATGACTGGATTCTCGAATGAATCTGAAACAATTCCTCTTAATGTGCCCTTGAACTCCACAATGAAAACATGTAGGACCATGAAATCTCACATCATAAGCATTCTCCATTCGAATTCTCTCCCTCAACAATCTGAAACACCTTGGCCTAATATGTCCAACAACACCACAATGATGGCAAACAGGTCGAAAAACTCGTCGAGGTGCACTCTGCAGTTCTTTAACTTTTCCTGAATCAGACTCTGTATCAGTTCTCGTATCAGATACAGCCTTTGCATTAATTGCAGTCCCTGCTGCAGTTTCTGTGTCAGTTCCTGAAGCAGACGTGATTTTACCACCATAAACGAACACCGGATCCGATTTGGAAAGACTTCCTTTAAATCCAAGGCCACACTTATCTGTCTTGCCTATATTCAGAATATGATCCAACTTCTTTGTGCCATTATTAAGCATCCTCAAATTCTTTTGAGTTTCTTCAAGTAGTACTTTATCTTGTGATGCTTCTTCTTCTTTCTCTACCGCATATTTTTGTGCTTCAATGACTTTAGCCTCTAACTTGAGTTTCTCCTTAGTTAACATTGAATTCTCTTCAACTATTTTAAGCCAATGCTCATATAAGGCTTTGTAATTCTCATGAAACTCTTCATCACTGATACTTTCATCGTCATCACTTTGATCATTGACACTTCCAATTGCAGATCATGTTGCAGATGCTGATGAAGATGCTGATGTAGACCTTGATCCAGACTTTGCTGCAGAACTAGACTCAAAAGTTGTAAACGCCACAAAATTCTTCAATTCTTCACCATCATCTGAGTCAATTTCAGAATCACTCATGATAAATCTCTTCTTCTTTTGCTTCAGCAAATTCGCACATTCTAAACGCACATGTCCAAAACCTTTGCACTCAAAACATTGTTTGCCCTTTGATGAATTGTCCAACTCTTCTCTTTTTCCATTAGCCCTAAAACCGTGAAGAGATCTGTTTTCCCTCATTCCAGGGAAAACATCATTGAAGCATTCTCTCTTTGTATACTACAAAAACTACATCTTTGTCGAAAGCAAGTTATTAATTAAAATCCGGACTTCTATCTGATATTTGTTAGACACACATGGGAATAGATGGAAATTAGACTTTTGTTATACAAAATAAAACATCTAATGTTTTTCAAGTGATCAAAGTCCTCAGCATCTTAGATTCACTCATTAAGATGCATTGTATCCATATTGGCTACTCAAATAATCCAAAATCAGATTCACTACAGGCAGTTTGTTCATTTTTTTTTCTTTAATTAAATGTAGCTGGATAAAGCTACACTATCTTATAGTCTGATAAAATAACAACACAAAATCGGTTCTGCATGCTCATGGAATTGAAGCTTTATAGAATAAGTCATAATGAAAGTTACCACTATGCAAACAATTCAGACATTTATAAAGGAGATAAAATGAGTTGGGGTACGGGTTTAGAAAAACATACAGGTCCACGTTGTTGCCTGTGTTGTGTTGAAGGAAGAGGGAGTGAAAATCAGCATCCATCATAGCAATCACGCTGTTCAGTGAATAAACTGTAATCATCAAGAAAAAGAAACATTTGAACCACTATGTTTGATGCTTTCAGCCGTATATAATTCAAATAAGAAAGTATAACATTTGAACCATTATCTTCCTTAAAGTTTATATCATCCAAAGCTTAGCATTTGAATGACACTCAGCCATTAAAACCTAGAACTTATTCCAAACTGAAATATATATAAACTATCATCTTCTAAGCAAAAACTTAATACAGTGGTTGTTCCAAAACTAAGAAACAACTAATTTCTGAGGTGCAGATATTAAACAAGATTTAAATCAAGAAACTTAGCAGTATACCTATCCCATCCCTCTGCAGCACTCTGTGTAGAGCCAACTGCATCCCACCAATAAACTCCGAACGAAAAGCTATTGAACATATTAAGAAAAAATGTAGATCAGTGATATCTCAAGTCACTATATAAGTTCCTATATATGCAAGCAGACAAGCTAGACAATATATACCCGAGTTTACATACCTCTCAGCAATCGCCTGCTCCCATGTTGATATTGAACATATTATTAGCAAAAAAAAGTGTTAGTTTTTTTTTTTTTTTTTTTTTTTTGACATATTTGGATCGACAAGGCCCGATCCATAGCCAATCCCTACTACGCGGGGTAACGCGACTTAGTGGAGTCGAACTCCGGTGGAGAAGGCGGAGTCAAGTGGACTTAACCACTTGACTAAAAGCACATCCAAAAAAAAAAAAAAAAAAAAAAAAAAGTGTTAGTTGTGAAGAAATAATTTGAAATAAATACCTTGTTGATAAACGGGTGTAGAAGAAATAATTTGAAATAAATAGATTATTGTATTTCATCGAACTTCTGATAAAAGCGTGCATTTGTGAGGTTTGATCTTGGATAAGCAATAAAAATACAGATTATACTATCATCAAAAGCTTATCAATTTCCTCGTTAAAAATCATAGGTAAAGAGAATATCAGAATACCATGGTTAAGTGGAAAAATAAGCAAATCCTTCCAAAAAACGTAATCCGATAAAATCTCCTTAATCGTTTAATTTAAGACTCGGAAACACAACATAACAAGAGTTTTTTTTTGTTCTTAATTCAGACATGTCATGTAAAGAAAAATAACTCAAGTCAATATGTCTCTTCACTTGGCGGCTTTATCAAACTTTTCGCAAATTTCCTCGTACTCTCTTAGTTGCTGCAGAAAGAGTAGCATACAAAGAAAACCATATGAGAAAAGAAATGTCAATTATGATTGCATAAGAAAAAAGAAGCATCGATTTTGATTTAACCTGATTTGTGAGAGACGGTCTGAGTGCAGACAAAGATTGCTCAAAATGATCCATCTTGATTATGCGCTTACTGGTTGAGCTAGTATCTCTGTAGGCGGCAAAAGCCGCTCGATTTACCAACGATTTAAGATCAGCACCACTACAATTCTCACAACGCTCCGCTATGGCATTTAAATCAACCGTTGGGTCAATTGGAACAGTGATACCCCTCACCAGAGATTTCAGAATTGAAAAACGTTGGGCAGCATTTGGGAGTGTTACATAGAATAGTCTCCCAAACCTGCCCGCCCTTTGAACAGCGGGGTCCATCCTGTCAGGCCTAACCCAAGAAAAAAAAAAGAAACGAAAAGTTGAATAAAAAAAATGTCACAATAATTGAACATGTTCCCACAGTTCAGAGCAAAAACCTAACCTGTTTGTAGCAGCAATCACAATTACACCTCCTCGTTTTTTTCCACCACTCAATTCAGCGAGTAACTGTCAATTAGCATGTCATTAGTTAGCATCATGACATGTTTCAGTATAATGATTGAGAATGAGATTCGAAACAACTCACCTGAATCAAAGATCGTTCAACAACCCAAGCACCTTGCTCACCACGTTTTGATGTTAAAGCATCCACCTACAGTGCTTAAAGAACATCAATGCACTGCACTGCTGAGGAACTTGTTTTATTCTCTACAGTCTCCTAACTTCTTGAACCAATATTCTTGAATACATACAATAAATTAAAGTCCAACTACTCTTCTTCAACACAACTACGTTTTAATTTTCCCACTGCCAAGTCGAACCTTAACTATGTTTAAGAATGAAACATTTCACAAACCAAAACAAACTCAAAGGCTTCTCAAAGGTAGAAGAATCAACACAAATATTTCATACTTTTTGTTTTTGCAAATTCCATCCGTAAATTAGTTTCAATTCTATGTATCTGCCATTCCATTTCATCAGGTTAGCTTGAGGGAAAGAGCATAGTTCTATTGAGTGTATCTCAAATCAGTTTCTGTCACAAATATTTGGTTTAAACAAAAGAGCTTTAGCTTTCACTGTTCTTTATAGGACTTGATTAGTTTATATCACTCTGGAACACTGACCTCATCAAAGAAGACTATGCATGGTGAGCACCTCCTAGCACGACTAAATAACTCCCTTATAGCCTTTTCCGTGTCTCCCACATATTTGCTTAGAAGCTCTGGACCCTACACATAGATCAAAAATATCAGATATCATAGGTGTTCACCCTTCATAAGCAATACAGAAACTGTCATGAAAACGGGGACACAAAAGAAATTACTGAAAGAAATTATGTTCCAAGCAAACCTCAACGTGGATATAGTTGGCTCCTGCCTCATTAGCAACAGCCTGCGCAACTAGCGTCTTACCAACCCCTGGTGGTCCAAAGAGCAAAAATCCGGTGTCTAAACAAAATTCAAATCCCTGAAAAGTGCATAGATATCCATCATCAAACTGCTAATGCCTAAGTTGCATAAATGAGATGAAACACGCCTAAGGCATAGCATTGATTCCGCTAAGTTTTGCTACACATTATTCACACTGTCTAGAGAATGTGGATAAATGATGCAGTGCCAGTGTACTCTTCTCAATTGTCAAGCGCTTGCTTGTCTCAAACAAGCAGCATAAAAAGATATCAGGTGAAGGTAAGACTTGTGTTTTTATTTACTTGATTACCTTGCATTGTTCAGGAAATTTTAATGGTCGAATTACATGTTCATAGAACTCCTGTTTTAAATTATCAAGGCCACCAACATCATCCCACGTTACATTAGGCTTAGTAGAGAATCCTTCTCTAGTTAAAGTAGGTTGAACCTCTTTCAGAGCTTCCTGTAATTTAACCTTTGTCAGACATAAAAAAAAAAGAAGCAAAAGAGCAGAATGACCATAGCATGTAGTTTATGGATAGATCGTATACATGTTTCAGAAAGGAAACGGATGAGTTCAGGAAACAAACAGATATTAGCAGAGAAAAGTTGAGTAGACGACTTAGTGCGCATTTGTGGGCTTAAGAGAAAATTTTAAAACGTTTAAAGAGATTTATCTCACCATGAAATCTGAGGTAGTGCAGACAAGTTGTTTCCTCTCTTCCTCTGAGATTGGTTGCCTCATCAAAGAATCAATGTCGGTACAAAGTCCTGATTTTCTAGAATATATAATTCTCTGAGCTAACACCATGCCAGCCTCCTTGGCCAAAACATCAAAATCAGCACCCACGAATCCGGAAGTCAGACTAGCAATGCTTGCACGGTCGAAATTGCTATCCAGCGTAAGGCCGCGGGTTGCCACAGAGAAAATCTCTTCTCTGGCTTTCTGATCTGGGACACCAAGGCAGATCTCCCGGTCGAATCGCAAAGATCTCCTCAACGCAGGATCAAGAGCGTCAGGCCTGTTGGTAGCTCCAATTACAACTACATGTCCAGGCTTAAAACCAGGGTCACCAGAGGAAACGTTCTTCTCTTTGTGCTTAAGGAGCATATACTTCTCATCCATACAACTCAGTAACTGAGTCAAGATACGTGTCTCCATACCTTTCTGCTGATTCTCCCTCTTTGATGCAATTGCGTCAATCTCATCAATAAATATAATGGAGGGTGCAGTCCTATAAGCTTTAAAGAAGAGTTCCCTGATATTCTCTTCAGATTCACCTAGAACAAGAGAAGAACCAATTCAATATATCTAACCAATATAGAGACAATTAAAGAGGAAATAAAAAAGATAAGAGAGGCCATACCGGAAACACCAGAAACCAATTCAGCAGCGGAAATCATATAAAAGGGCACGCCAGTTTCGTTGGCGATGGCACAAGCTAGTGTAGACTTGCCACAACCAGGTGGACCATGAAGTAAAAACCCAGAAATAGGTTTCATACCAATAGCTTGTACGATGTCAGGACATAGGAGAGGGAGTTTCACCAGAAATGCGAGCTTATCTAAAATACCATTTAACCCACCCAAGTCCTTAAAGGTTGGTCCTTTTACCTCTACATCATACGAACCCTTACTTGCCTCTTCACTAGCTTTCTTCTTCTCCGAGTAAGAAAGGCGTAGACTATCATTAGTAATATCAAACTGCATATTATCGTCCGATGTCAATACATTGCCGGATGAGGACCCAGAAGAAGGTGAAGGTGATGATGATATACATAAATCCGAATTGCTCTGTTCTCGCCTCTGTTTCTTCCTACTTTCATCTTCATGTTTCCTGTCGTTGCTCCTAGAATTTACGATATTCTTGACTTTGACCAACAGAATCTGGCGCTTCCAACGAGCCCATTCACGGTGCTTCAAACGGAGGTCATCTACGATCTCTTCCACCGTTGATCCCTTCCCAAATGATTCTAGAACGAGATTCGTAAAACTCCCAACAGGAACGCTCCCGCGGATAACTCTTTTCCTCATCTCGAAGCTTTTTTTCATGTGGAATCAGGGAATTGTGGGTGAAACCCTAAATCTGCTCGCTCGCTCGAAGCAGCAGACAATTGGTTTTCTGTCGCTAAAATGACATACTATAGATGAAACCCTACTTACACATATGGGCCTAATGGGAGGCCCATTTGTTCCACGGTAATTCTCTGATGAGGGCTGGGCAAAAAAACCGAAAACCGAAAAACCGAACCGTACCTAACCGAAATAAATGGTTTGGTTTGGTTATGGTTTTGTATAAAAACCCATTTGGTTGTAATTTTTATTTAAGTTTCGGTTTAGGTTTGGTTTGGTTAAAAACCGTAAAACCGAACGGTTTTTTTGGTTTTTTATTAAAGTTAAAAATAATTGTATATATATATATATAATGTCCATTTGATTCGAACTATCGAAAAACAAAACCCTAACCCTAACCTAAACTAAAATTCTATATAAATCACATGATGTCATTGACTTTTTGTTCTTAAATTCTATATAAATCACATGTCCCAATATTTTGGCTTTGAGTTGGAAGCCCATATTCTAATATGGTAGCAGAGCCCGATCCGTACATGTCCAAATCCAATCCACCATCGGCCCGGCCCAATAGTTGGCCCGCCGATCTATGCCCGAGCATACCGAGATCGATGGCTAGAGCCATCATCTCGAGGGGGCGTACTAGGGATAATATTATCTCACATTGGAAAGGACAATGGATCCTGACTAGTATATAAGATATATGGGTCTCTCCACTCATTGCCAATTGGTTTTGAGTTGGAAGCCCACTAAAACAGATTCCGATGAAACATTCGAAACAGGAAATGCAAGCACATCCCTGGCCAATTCTGGGACATGTGATTGCATCTTAGAGCATCTCCAATGGTGAGAGCCCTACATGGGTTCTCACCATTTTTTTAAGAATGAAATTTTCAAATTTATGTGATGAGAGCTTTTGTTAAATTTTTTTAATTTTGCAAAGTCCAATGGTAGGCTCTCTTTGTGGAGTTCTCAGAAAAAAATTAAATTATTTTTTAATTATTTTATTTCATAAAACTGAAAAATATTACAATTCATAACATATTAAACATACAACAATTTCATACATTTGAAAATAAATTTGCAAAAAAAAAAAAAAACGATTAGTTATTCTGTTGATTGTTGCAAAATTTTCTCCATATATGCTCTACCAAATCACGTTTCAATTGTTGATGCATATTTTGATCACGAAGTTGATTTCGCATGCCCATCATATTCTCGAGATTTAGAGGCATAACTGTAGAATACGATAAAAAGACTTGTGAAGTTTAGTTTCTTTAAATTATGGGTAAATACGAATCCGCAACTTAACCGCCGGTAACGGACGTTATGGAATCGTTTGATGGGGTGGAATTTTAACCTGAAATATTAAAATAAATATATATATAACATGTTTACGTAACATAGTATATATATATCCGTAGTATGGTGGTTAGTGATCTGTTGTGTAACCCTCTGAACCCGGGTTCGATTCTCCATATCGTTTTTTTTTCCTTGCCTCCTTCACAAAAACCCTAGGGCGAGCATCGCCGCCACCGCCGGTTTGAGCTGGAGATTCGAACTGATACTGTTTCCGTATGGTCTGAGCTTGAGACTCGATTGTGACTGAACTTTTTCTTTTTGTTATTGAAGGACATGATTTCATCATCATCTTATCATCTTCTCCAGCAAACCTCTGATTTTTAAAATGGCTAAAGAGGGAAACGTGTACCAATGGTGGAATCTTTGGGAAGAATCCAATTTTAACTTGTTAATGTAGAGATTAGTGTAATTAATGGGTGAACTAGGGAAGTAATTCTTCAATTGAATCTTCAAATTGGTGAAACAGTGAGGAGAGAGGAGAAGCAGAGAACGCAGAGGGAAGGAACAAAATAGATGGTCCAATTAGAATGTGCCACGTGTACGGTTCTCTCAATTACTCAAACCTCTCTTCAGAGAATCGATTCTCTGCCTTAATAACAGTTTTGATTTATTTTTTCGGCAATTCAACAAGAGAACTCATCAAATTTGTTAAGAGAGCCTCCCTTTGGAGATGCTCTTAGACCCATATAGGAGTTCACTAACTCCTTTTATTGCAGAATTGGCTTAAAACATCATCTTATTATTCTGATTCATGTGTTGACATTGGGAAAATGCTAGAAGAACCTGAATATATGGAGTCTTTACACGAAGATATGTATTCAATATTCATGATTCTCTTATGGGTTTAAACTTTCAACTACATTGAAAAATATTTTACATCTTATATATAAATATATATATATATATCACTGGATCTCATGTTCTTTTATTTTGTTTTGTCTATCAGAGATTAATAGGCAGTTTGAAGAGGCCAATCGTGGCTAATGAGTGATATTATTGAGTGATATCACTGAGTGCGACGATGATACAAATTATTTCTGAATTTTGTTTTCTATAGCTTATTAGCTTTCTAATTTTTACAAGTTTGAATTTAAATTTAGGATTTGGGTTTACAAACTAGATTTTGATTTTATTTATGCATCAAACTTATAATTTTTTTTGGTAAAAACATGAAAAAACCGGAACCGATCCGAACCAAAATACATATGGTTTTTAAATGGTTTTAATTTTTCTAAAACCGAAAAACCGTAAAACCGTTAAAACCGAACCGTAAGAAAACCGAATTTCATATGGTTTTTATATGGTTTCACTTTTCTTAAAACCGAAAAACCGAAAAACCGAAAAAACCGAACCGAAACCAAACCGAAAAACCGAACGCCCAACCCTCTGATCTTCATATGGTTCAAGTATCCAAGTCAAAAGGAGACACACTCGAATTCCACAAGGTAAGTCTTATAGTTTGGTTTAAATTAGATCATAGATTAAGTACCGGTTTAATATAAGCTAAGTCGAGATTATTTGTGTGGTTTGCAGTTCTATAAGAAGCTATCAAATTCTCTGGAGCAAGTAGTTTGGACAAACAACAAAGTTAAAAAAAGAAAAGGGAAAGTTATATATGAATGTTTCATCTTTTGGGGATAGAAGAGCCAAGAAACATAACAGGAGAAAACAAGTACGGGGCTTGATATAAAATCCCCGTAATGGAAAAAGAGAAGAGTTGGACAACATAACAGGAGAACCGCTTCTTGAATGGCAAACTCAATATCTCCATCAATCTTGATATCAAACTCTGTCTTACTTCCTGAACGATTTCCTGACCTCACCCTTGATCTACCCGAAACAAGACTAAATCTCTATCGAGAACCCGCTCTGATACCAATTGTAAGTGCGGATAAGGTAAGATAAATTGTAGAAAGTAAACAAGACAAGAAATTTGTTAACGAGGTTCGGTTTTTCCTACTCCCCGGGACCAAGTCCAGATTTCAATTTCACTAGAACAAGAAAGCAAATTACAATCAATTCGCAAACGCGTAAAACAAGCACAACCCTCTTGATTTACCGCTCCCTTCTATAACGTGAAACCTTAAGGATAATCTCTACCCTTAACTAAACTCCCCTTGAGTCTAGATTTAATCAGGATAACCTAACCCTGAGCTAAACTCCCCTTGAGCCTAGACTTCAAGATAAACCACTTGATCACACAAGCACAAACCCGCAAAACTAACTTGCACACAATCTCACCGAAAGCTCTCAAAGATTTCTTCTTTATGCCTCAGCTCTCTTGCTTCTCCAAGACGTCCTCCACACCTCCTTATATAGCCAAAACGATTTCCTAATCACCATAGGAGAAGATTTCCAATTTCCATAAGAAAAAGTAAATTTCCTTTTATACTTTTCCTTTTTCTCATCAAACTCCACTTTCATCAAGTCTTCCAGATCTCTTTAAGTCCTTGTTCCTTTGTGATTCATCCTCCAAACACGCTCCAAACATATCTTCTCAAACCTTCTAGAAACCGACACTCACACAAAAACTGTCGCATCTTGACTTATTTCTTGAATCATTCAGCAACTCCATCAGACAAAAACTTGTATTACTTCTTAACTCATTCAACAACTCCATCAGACTGCAGCTACATCAGATTCTTCAACACTGATGCAGACCCTGACACATACGCTGATGCAGACCCTGACACATACGCTGATGCAGACCCTGACACATACGCTGATGCAGACCCTGACACATACGATGTTGCACACACTGATGCAGTCTGCATCAGACGCTGACATAAAGATTATCCCCTTAGTTGTAGCTGCGACGTAGTTTTACGGGTTAAGTGCTTGTGTGATCAAGCTTATTTGTGTGTTGGTGTTGACGGTTCATGTTGGCAACACTTGGTGATCGTTGGGTTTGTTGGTGTGACGGTTCGTGTGTGGTGGTTGTTCCAGAGACTTGGAGAATTGAAGTCTAGACTCAGGGGAAGTTTAGCTCAGGGTTAGGTTATCCTGATTAAATCTAAGCTTAGGAGAGTTTAGTTAAGGGTAGAGATTTATCCTTAAGATTTCATGTTAATAGAACGGAGAGGTGAATCAAGAGGGTTGTGCTTGATTTACGCGTTTGCGAATAGGTTGTATTTGCTTTCTTGTTCTAGTGGAATCGAAATCTGGACGTGGTCCCGGGGAGTAGGAAAAACCGAACCTCGTTAACAAATTTCTTGTCTCGTTTACTTTCTACAATTTATTTGACCTCATTCGCACTTACAATTGGTATCAGAGCTCCTCATCAGCAACTATGCTTCTCATCTTCTTAAATCACTTCTTGTATTACTTCCTGTACTACTTCGACGACTAGTACAGAACACCAAAATAACTGCATCTTCACAATCATATACTCACAAAGTCATCATCTACATGATTAATTGGGTCAAATACAACAGGGATGAAACATGGCCACGAACACAATGTGGAATTAGATGGGTGTTAAGTAATTCTGCTAGGGATGTGTTATGGATGGCTGAGCAAATGATGTCTAGGTTCAACTATAAAAATATTATTTTTGAATCAAATTCTAAAGAGCTCATTTCATTACTTAGAGAGGAAATGAGTATGGTTCATCTTGACTCCTCGATTCAAGCAGCTGCTTCAACATAATTACAAATTGCATCCCTTCAATTTTGTTAAATATACACTTTTAGTAACTTTTTTTTTTGTTAATGGGCATTCCATATGCTTCTGCTATAGGATCTATCATGTATGCTATGCTCTGCACTCGCCCAGATGTTGCTTGTGCTTTGAGCATGACGAGCAGATACCAGTCTGATCCAGGTGAAAGTCACTGGATAGTAGTCAAGAACATCCTTAAGTACTTGAGAAGAACTAAGGATAAGTTTTTGGTTTATGGAGGAAGTGAGGAACTTGTTGTGAGTGGTTATACCGATGCCAGCTTTCAGACAGACAAAGATGATTTTCGATCTCAATCAGGATTTGTCTTTTGTCTCAACGGAGGAGCAGTGAGCTGGAAGAGTTCTAAACAGAACACTGTGGCAGATTCTACAACTGAGGCTGAGTATATAGCTGCTTCTGAAGCGGCTAAGGAGGCTGTTTGGATTAGGAAGTTCATTACTGAACTTGGTGTGGTTCCTAGTATTTCTGGCCCCATCGATCTTTACTGTGATAACAATGGAGCCATCGCTCAAGCGAAAGAACCTAGATCACACCAGAAATCCAAACACATACAAAGGCGATATCACCTCATTCGTGAGATTATTGATAGAGGTGATGTGAAGATTAGCAGAGTTCCAACGGATGCAAATGTTGCTGATCCGTTTACTAAACCTCTTCCGCAGCCTAAGCATGAGAGTCATACTGCTGCGATTGGCATTAGATTTATAAAGATGTGATCTTATTTCTAGTAGGAGGTTTTTATTTATTTATTTATGATATGATGTTCATGTTAAAATACATTTGAATTTATTTTCAAATTAATGAAATTTGTTTCAGTATTATTTATTTATTGGATAATTAAATAATAGTTCCAAAATAATTTATATCATTCTTATAGACCACCAAGTACGTGACTTGATCATGAAACTCTATAAGTGGAAAATGACATAAATTATAGAAGTCCCTAGCCAAGGTTATTAAAATGGGACATTAATAACTAAGAATGGCTAGTATGTGAGGTGACTGATGACTACGTTTCATGGAGTCATTAATATGTGGTATTAAAGTCAATCACATAGATATGTGTTAGAGAACACAGTATTGGACTGACCCGTTATGAGAACTCTACAAGATTGTTATATGAGTGTCATAAGATGTTATATGAGTGTCATAAGAGTTTTTCATCACAACTATAGAGTATAGTCCTTTGACCTGAGTTCGTCATGATTTCTCATTCATGGATTAGTTCGCTTTGACTCTGTCAAACGTCAGCCGTAAAAGGTGATTATAAAGACAGTGATTGGGCGGGTTATGAATTGTTTAAGGAACAGGGATGGAACAAGATGGGATTTGTCCCTCCCATATAACGGGAGATAAATATCTATGGGCCTATCGAAGATTTGATACTGAGAAATGCGTGGCCGCGCTCAAACGAGGTGAATGTCAGTCGTTTGTTTTTATCAGTATAAATCGGAGTTCGATAAACATGGTCTAGCTTAATAAGGATGACAATTTCTTGCCTTATGCTGAGATCGAGATATAGAGACGAAGGGATTATGGGAATAGAAGATTCCAGTACAAGTGGGAGATTGTTGGGAATGTCCTGAAATCGTTTGTACTTTACTCTAATTGAAGTTGAAATGTCGAGGTCTGACATTCGTATAATATTAGGTGGTTATAATGTTTTGCTAGAGACCGCTTATAATCTATGAGTTTAAAACTCATTGCTAATATTATACGAACCTACAGGGTCACACACCTAAGCAGACTGGATCAATGTTGGGTTATAATTATAATATAATATATATGTTATATGAGATATACATATATATTTATATTTGTGTATTTATAATAAAGTGTTTATTATATAATATATATGTGATATATGATATACATATATTTGTACACGTAAGTTGCAAAAAGAAAGAAAAGAATAATTGGGCTTTGGCCCATTAATAAACCTAAGTTTAGGTTTAACGTTTGACTATATATATTGATATATTGTCAACGTTTGTGATGGGGTTTTTGAGCAACCAAACCCTAAACATAAGAGACAAAGTGTTTGTCTAAATTTTGAGATTATATCTCAACAGTACTAGCATACTACGTGTGATCCAGTTTGTGTGCGTGTGGATACCGGTAGAGGCACAACACTTGGGGTGCTGAAATAACCTCGAATTAATATGATTCACCTTTCCGCTGCAGAATATCCAGGTATATTCAAACCCTATGATCTAGATTTAAATCTTTATTTACACGGTTCCTGGCAATTAAATTCGTAATTAGTATTTATAAATCGTTATAAACCGGTACGAATTCCAACACTAACATCCAAATAAAATATAGCGGTCGTAGTGGCCATAAAAAAATCCCGGTCTAGCTTATTTGCACCATTATAAGAAATAATTTTTATGCATTTCAAAAGTGTCAAAACTTGTTCTTTTCAAATAGTTAAGCCTGGGTGTTACTCTCTCATTTGGAGTTCAAATTCATATAAATTTTTTTCTTTCTTTGAATCAATTTTATTCCGTTTAAAGATTATTGACATCCCACATTCACAAATAGATTGACAAATTCAGAATTGGTCAAATCGTTAAGTTTTTTTAATGCCGTCAGTTTCATTTTGAATTTAACAAAATATTGAATGATAATGGGATTGGAGTTTGACTTGCTTATTAATTTTAGAGTTTTTTTCATCAAAAGGATTTTATATTAAATTGTTGAAATCGGTACAGAGAGTTCGAGCTATCGGCTCGAGAGGGTTGATGGCAGATGGCAGAAGAAAACAAAAATTATTATTATTGAACTAGGTGAACATCCGGGCTATGCCCGGGTAGATGATTAGTGTTTTAAATTAGTTAACATAGTTTCAATTTTTTATTATTATTTAGGATATATTCTATTAATTGTTTTTTAGTTCAATAACTTAGTATGTGAATTTTTTTAACTTCTTTGATATATACATGGATAAAAATTTTGAGAAATTTTTGAGAAACATCATTTTAACCAAATATATATAGGGATTTTGGTCTAATGTGTCATTTACTGTAGCAAAACTTATACAAATTGCCACAAAAAGTTTTCTTTTCTCAATCTGCCATTTTTCCACTTTATGGCAGGCAGACAAAGACGAAAATACCCTCAGACGAAAATATCTAAATATCAGCTATTTGGTGGACAAAACTTTGTTTCGGAAAATTTTGGTAGACAAAAAATATTATCCACATTTGAAACAACAGATTGGGATGATATTTGGTGAACAACAAATATTGTCCACATTTAAAACAACAGACTTTAAAGAAATTTGGTGGACAAGAATTCAAAACGGCATATTTCGAAAATTTTGGTAGACAAGAAATGTTGTCCACATTTGAAACAATAGATTGAGAAGATATTTGGAGGACAACAAATATTGTCCACATTTGAAACAAACAGACTTCAAAGAAATTTGGTGGACAAGAATTCGAAACGAAATAATCCGAAAATTTTGGTAGACAAGAAATGTTGTCCACATGTATCTTCTTCCTTCTCAGATTTAGATTCGCTTCCACTTTCCAAACCAGATTCAGACCCAGATTTTTAATCTCGCTAAATCGCCAACGATGTATTCCTAGATCGAAAACGTGATGAACTCTTATATCTAGGGAGATTGAGCTTCATTTTTTAGAGAAAAAAAGAGAGAGAAAGAGAGAGATGAGAGAGAAATGAGAGGAATGGAGATTGAACAAAAAAACTTTCTCTCTAAATGGTAAATTGGACTTTGCAAGTTGGGTTAGAAATTGGATTGTGGCACAATTGAAAAGGATTTGTGGGCTGTGGCAATTTTGGTAAGAATTGCTACATTGTGTGGCACATTTCTTAGATTTCTCATATATATATACTAAAAAATTTGATGTTACATTTTGAAAATGTTTTGATACGTATGCACATCTTCCCAGTTTGCATTGCCGCTACCTTTTGTAAGCACTTTCATCTTCATCTTTGTCGTCAGGAAGTTGCCTTTGTCCCTACTTGGTCTTCAAGGCCAGCTTTGACAGAAGCCAAATATGCTATAAATTTTGTCAAAAATCTTTATAAGTAAAACATATTTCGAACCAAAAGGAATTTAAAATATTCTCAAAAATATAATTGACAAATGAAGTGGCACATGGTCAGTTTATTTAGCATGATATGGAAGGCGATGTATGAATTCACATAATCAACAACTCATATCGAATGAAAAGGAAGTAAATCCTAGAGATGTGATTGACAATACATAAATAGTAAAGGGAGAGGAAACGTCGTGAAGGCACCACTGAACATTAATGTAGCTAGTAAGCTTTTTAGGCACCAAAATTGTGATTAAGAAAACCCTTGTGTCTAAAGGGTAGGAGCTAGGTAGATAATAAAATTTGTAAAAGTAGGCAAAGAAGAGAAATGTATTTATTTTTAATAGAAAAAAGCTTAGCTAAAAATAAGAGCTTCATGAAGAAGATACAATAAACCTTTCCACAATCTAAACTTGGGAGTTTTGATTTACTGACCTCCTATCCTAAATTGAAATCCGGCAAAACCTAAGGAAACGACCCAAGAGTAGACATCTTAGTTGCAACCAACTTGGATTTGAAGTAGAAGAAAGCGAAAAGGAGTCAGAGGATATAGATCTTACCTTTTGACGATTTGAATTCTCTAGCCGAGTCAACCTCATCGACTTGTTGAGATTACTTGTCCTCCTTCATTGAAAACTTTAAAAGTTTTGCTGTCGTCTGTGTTAAATCAAAATGATATTGAAACCATTCGTAAAAAAAAGGGATCTCACCATGTCGATTTCTGGATATCCGATGAACAAAACTTCCAAGTGTGGCGCTCTTAAATTTGACTGAACCTAGATAATTTGATAAACTTTTTGAAATAAGAGCGTGAGACGATCTTACCTGATAAGGATTACCAAATGTAATCGAAAATTCTCTATGATGGTAAAGGGAATATCGATTGATAGGCGTGATTTGTGAATGTTGAATTGCTTTTAAGTGATCTTTCCCTCTGTAACGTAAAGAATATTTGTTCAAAGAGTGGAAATTAGGAACTGAAAACAGGACTGGAGAGAGGAAGAAGAAAGGTCTCATGTTTTGTTGCTTCTTTTGATTTTAATGGGCTTCGAAATGGCCCATACAAACAAACGAATAAAATTGAACAGAAGATGTGAGAAGCTCGCTGACGTGGCGAGATTTTAGAATGTCTTTCTCAATGCTGACGTGGATAGCCTGAGAAGCTTCAATGAACACTTTTTATTAGAAAGAGATGTACTTAAAATATGTATATATATTGAATAATTCCGTGAATGATGAATATACTAATATTTAAAATGTTAAATAACAATATAAAATTTCAAAATAATATTCACATACTTATACAAAAGAAATATAAATTTAAAGGATAAGATAGATGTTCCATTCTTTTGGGACAATAGATAAGATAGATGCACATATGTAGATAAACAACATGTAACAAAGAAAAATCCAAACTAAAAAAAAAAAAAAACTCACGTATTCTACACATGATTAAATGACAAAAGTTAGAGCATCTCCAACTGTAGTGTTTTGAAGAGTGTCTCAAGATTAAAAAAAATAAAAAATAAAAAAAAAAGGTAGGAGAGAGTGTAGACACGTTTCTGGTTTGAGAAACTGTGTCTCCACTTGTCCTTATATTATTGGCCAAATTCCTTTTTTATAATTTATAATTTAAATAAATAATTTATTTATTTTATTTATTATAAAATGATTAAAATAATATTTTTGAGACACCCACACAATGTCTAATGGATGGAGATGGTCTTAGAGTGCATAAATTAAAAAAAGGAAAAAAGATGGCTAACTACATGAAGTATCCGCGAAGACATGGCCACACATGCAAAGTTTAAAAATGTATCTCTAACTACACAAACTATATGTATCGCATGCCCACATATACGAACTATATGTAGTCATGTCGCCAACATCACAAACATTTTTTTCCGATACATTTTTCGCCGGAATCCGGTATTGACCAGTTTGACCGGCGTTGACCGTCATTGACCAACATAAATATTCAAAAAAAAAAAAAATTAGTTTTTTAATATTTAGAAAATTAGGTTATTGAATCATTTATAATATTATATAATTTAAAAATATATATACAATATTCAATATAAAAATATTTTGTATATATATTAAATGCATTGATTTTTATAATTAGTTAGTTTTGATAATTTCAAAACTAAACTAAAAATAAAATAAAAACCAATTAGGTAAAATAATTGTAAATATGAAATTTTCTATACTCTCTAGTCTAAAGTTTTTTTGTATAATATGTTGTTAATTTTTGTATCTAAAATTATTACGAAAAATTCTTTTAGTAATACAAAAAAAATTAACAACATATTATAAAAAAACTTTAGACTAGAGAGTATTTAAAATTTTCTATTTATAATTATTTTACCTAATTGGTTTTTGTTTTATTTTTAGTTTAGTTTTGAAATTATTGAAACTAACTAATTATAAAAATCAATGCATTGAATATATATACAAAATATTTTTATATTGAATATTGTATATATTTTTTTAATTATACAATATTATAAATGATTCAATAATATAATTTTCTAAATATTAAAAACTAATTTTTTTTTTTAATATTTATGTTGGTCAATGCCGGATTCCGGCGAAAAGTGTACCGGAAAAAAATGTTCGTGATGTTGGTGACATGACTACATATAGTTCTTATATGTGGGCATGCGATACATATAGTTCATGTAGTTTAGGATCCATTATTAAACTTTGCATGTGTGGTCAGGGGCGGATCCAGAAAATAATTCTATATGGGGCACTACATATATAAATATTAAATATAATTCAATTAGCTAAATTTTTTTATGATTATAAAAAAAAAATATTGCATTTGTAGCGGTTTGGGGACTTGAACTTGGGTTGATATGGGGCACACTAAGCTAAAAACCATTTAAGCTACGTGATTTTTTTGGTGAAAGCTCAGCTTATATGATATTTATAGCATTTAGTATGGGGCACAGGCCCCACCTACCTTCAACGTGGATCCGCCCCTGTGTGTGGTCATGTCTTCGCGGATACTTCGTGTAGCCAGCCATCTTTTTTTCTTAAAACAATTATTATTATTATTGTTATGGAGTGAAAATATCATAGTTTGTACCGTTTTTTCTTACTGCTATGATATTTTTTTTAATCATTTTTGCAGTTATTTTAGTACCGTTTACTTTTTTGTTTTGCTAAAAAACTCTTAGAGTTTTGTTTTACGAATCAGATTTTAATTATTTTAACTATGAATAAAATTTTCATATAACTCGAAACTCAAAATGTATAATATTTAAGTAAAATTTTAATGTTAATTACTCATATACAATCTTTACAAAAAAATCCCAAAACATCTCATTTCTACCAACACCAATGACCCAAACCACCAGGCACCAGCCTTTACGTCACTTGCTACTTCAGGTTGAGGATCGGATCAAAGTCGCTGAGACCATTTCTGGCCAACGTCAAATCGGAAACTCATAATTAATACTCACCCTAATCAATTAATAATTACAAGTCATCAAAAAACACAGCACACAATATCACACGACCGTAACAGTGGCCGGACCGGCGGAGAAACTACCCAAGAGACCATCGTAGTTCAACATAGAAACCCTAGGCTTCGCCACCGGCACCCAATTCTCTGGCTCCATCGCCTCGGAAACTGCCGCTTCCAAGGAGCTAGATCGATCGCACGTGCCAAGCCACTTGGCTTGCATGTACTTATGTTTTCTCCAAGGAGCCATATGCATTTTCTTGTCTCTCAAGCATTTCTTTCCGGCGATGCACAATATCTTGATCAGAGATCGAAGCCTCTCGGTTTTTCCGACGTAAACCTCCGGCAATCGGCTGACTAGTCTTTTGTACTCTTCACTGCCTTTTGCAATCTCAAACTCTGCCCTAAATGATAACTCAATCACCACTCGCATCTCGCCTTTCTTCGAACCCGATCGGTCCACGATCTCTATAAATTCGTGTTCCCCTGATTGTAATTAAAATAAAATATGAGTTAGTCCAAATATTCATTTAGGTAGAGACAAAAAAAATGACAAATTGAAAGATATGAATGTAATGTGTGTTGACAAAAATCTGATATTTGCTTGATACGTAAGTAACAAATCAAAGAATTGGTCTGAAAAAATCTTTCGTGTTCTTGTGGACATAAAATATTTTTTCCATTTCAAAAATAATTATCTTACATATATTCCCATTGATAAATGAAAACGATGGCTTAATAATTTAAGAACCAGTCTTTTAATAAAAATGAATAACACTAAATAGTTTTAATGTCTAAAAACAAAAAAAATATAATGTGTTTGTTTGTTTGTACCTGCAGGGATGTCTTGACAACTTCTCCATTTAGATTTGGAGATGACGCAATCGTAGCCGGCGACATCTCTGAGGTGTCTAGAGATTTCGCCACGTAAGCAACTCCGGCAACCGCCGTCCACTGGTCGTCGGCAAACACAATTAAGACCTTTTGATTTAACTTGTTTCAACGCTTCTTTCGTAGCTTGTCTAATCTTTGTCTCAACGGAACTTGTCCTATACAGTGTCCCCTACACAATTCCAAAAATAAAACAAATTTAGACACCAAATTATTTGGCTTAAAAAATGACAAATAATTATATAAATTTGTTTTGATAATGAAAAATATAGATTTTATTTATAAAAAAAAAGAAAATATTACCTGAAGAAGTTGTTCTTGTTCCTGCCAAAAAGCTTTGTTTTCTTCAGAATTATTATTATTGTCGTCTTCGTCGCCGTCATCTCCGCCGGCGTTGAGGTTTACGGAGTCAGAGAAATCTTCCGGTGACTGGTTTCCTTCGTCGAGAAAACCGAAAAGAACATCGTCAGAGCTAGCCATTCCATCGAGAAATCTCATGATGTCATCGGAATTTTGCCGATCCATCGGAGTTTTTTTTTTTTATAATAACAAGGATAGAGAGAAAAATGTTTGTTGTTGTTGTTGTCTTTTTTATTTTATTTTTTGTTGGGTTGAAGAAAAATAGGAGAGTTTATTATATAGTGGGTGGGGAGAGAATAAGGTGGGACCCATCTGAAATCAGAGAAACAGATACATGGCGCCGCGTGATTGAATAGTGACGTGTAATATTGTGATTCGAGGACGTGTCAGATCTATGAGATGAATGATTGCTCAAGACAGCTAGTTTCCATGTCAGCATGACTAATCTCGTGAGAGCTTCTTTCTTTGAACATATCCGGATATACTCTACAAATATCTATTTATAAAAAAGATTCCTTTGTAGAGTAATAATTAAGGATAATATGAAAAAAAATTTATCAAGAAGAAAAACAGATAGACATTTTTCAAAAGAAAAAGACATTATTTTATCTAATTTAGGAGATCAAAATTGTAGTAATCAAATAAAATGTTTGACTAAAAACCGTTTTTAAACACATACTATGATGTCAAAATGAGTCAATCCCACGCATGGTTAATTAGTTGGAGTCTACTTTAATCCAGATTATGCAAACCAAGCAATACTTACTACATGTAATTCTTTAGCCATTTATTCGTTTTAATTATGTAGGCTTTTTTTCAACTTACCCCAAATTTGTTTGGTTTTGATCTTAGCTAGAGACACTAAACCAGAATGATGAATCAGATGATTCAGGGTTTTGATCTCGGACACACTATGTCTATGTCTTACATAAAAATCAAATGTAGTCGTATAAAAATTTATTTTAATTTTAACTTTTGGACTTTTTCCATAGCTGTTTACGTCACACATTTGATTTTTATATATATGTACAACTTAGTCCGATCGAATATAAATCATTTAATAGTTACTTGCAATGTGTGTAAGAACAACACTTGGCAATACTTTCTCATTGTGTTATTGATTAATTCTGCATCTGACAAACAAATTGAAATTGTAAGCGCTGAATTTCTTTGATATTATAATACAAAGAGTATATTTAATTAATTAGTTATTCCAAGATTCACGAAAGCTCTAAAAAATTCGTTGAATAAGCTTCTAGCTTTTATATTGTTTTAGCAAAATAATAATAATAAGGCTGCTTTCACAATGTTTCTGCTTAAGAAGTT